AGAGGGATCTTATTGGGATAAGATATGAGGTATGTGGTTCAGGCTGTGCTTGTGTCCTACTGGCAGAGCAGATTCAGAACAAGTGTGTTTGCCTGCTGCTGCGGTACTGAAGCAGGAATAACCCATACCACATTCCTGAAGGACTTTGGTGTCTCTGCAAGTGCCCTGGCCAATTTTGTTCTTGTTTGATTTTTTGCAGTAGAAATGGTGCAAAAGTGAGTAAATGCTGGCTCACGAAAAAAGAGCTGTGGGCATTCTCTTCCTAGGCTAGCCCTAGCCGCTCACTGCTGAGAGTGGCCAGAGTCCTAGAAAGCTGCAGTTGCATAGGATGGGTGTTTCTCTGCTTCCCAGCCTGTTCTGCGCTTAGATTTCAATTGCCTTTTTTTTTTAAATCACTTGTTTCAGTTCCTGTACCGATGATAAGTGTCTTTTTCAGTGCAAAACAATTGCAACATCCTTTCTGTGCTGCTGTGTGTTTTGCTTATGAAGACTCTTGTCCTTGAAGCCATGTCCCACAAGGGCTCAAGACACACAGGATTTGACTAACAGGGTCACTGCCATGAGAAAAAGTCGCTATTTTCATCACCTTTGCTAGGTTTCTCTCTGTTTTTGTGGCTATCTGGTTTCCCTGGAACTTGTGGGTGGTTTGTTCAGCAGCATGTCAGATCTTTATCCACTGAGATCTCGCTTGGCTCCAACAGTCCAAGGTGAAAGCCCACGTAGCTGCTACACGAGCTCTCAGCAAAGCGAGCCTGGCTCTGGCAGGAGCTGGAGGATTTGGGCATTTCTGCTCTGTCAGGAGGCTTCTGCCCATGAGAGCGTGCCTGGGGGATCGCAGCTGAGCCGGCCAGCCTTGGGGAAGCCAGGCAGCCGGCTGACTCCTGCTCTGTAATTGGGGGAAGTAACCAGCTGCCTTTGATGTCTGAGCTGGGCTGAGAAAACCTGATGGCAGACTTCAAAGTCTGTTGCGCCAGCTCCCCTGATTATCTGTAGGCTTCTGGCACGTCCCCCAAGACTGCCAGATTATCCCAGCTAATGCTGCTCTCTTCTCCGCATCCCCTACCCTGCCTGGTAGGGGCTGGCCTGGTGCCAGCCCCTTGCTTTCAAGGCTCCCTCCCTCCCTCTCCTCCTGCCCCTCCCCGATCACTGTGGGGATGTGGCAATGGCATTTCTGGGCCCAGGACTTGTCTCCTGAGATCTGTGAAGCAAAGGCAGGGGAGGTGTTTGTGGAGACCTTTCCTATAGCCTGCATCCCTGGGCTCTATTCCCCCTCCCCATTTGGTTGCAAGAGCAGCTTGAACTGTAGGAAGCTCTCCGCGGCTGCCCTTTGCAAGGCACTGAGGTGTTTACAGCCAAGCAGGCACCGTGTGCCTTCCCCCCAAAAAAGCCTTTGGGGAGTAGGGCTCCCACCCACACTGATTGAGGGCAGGTTGCACAAGTTGAAGGGTGAGGAGGGGCTGGGAGGAAAGGACTGTGGTGCCTTCAGCCTCTCTGCTGGGACCTTGCTGCCTCAAATTTGTCCCCAGCTCCCTCTCCACCTGCACCTCAGTGCTTGGGGACTCCCGGGGTGCTTGTCTGTGCGAGTAGAGATGTGGAGGGCAGGTCACTGCTGAGGGCTGCCTTGGACAGCAGTGAGGAGCAGGCAGAGCTGCGGGGCTGAGCAGAGGCCCCAGAGCTCACACTCTTCCCAGAGCAGCTTGCTTTCACCTGGGGTGTTACAACACATGTTACAACATGCCCAAAAGCTCATGCGGGGTACTCTCCCTTTTAAGAGCTGGGTTGTTGGGTTTTTTTTGTCCTAGAGGAAGCAACCTCAGCAGTGGCTGAAAACCCTTCCTATGCAAAGCCAGATTTGCCCAAGACATAGTTTGAGGTTTCAATTTCTGTGGAAGTTGTGGTTTGTTGCTACTTTGCAGGAGGCATGGTAGGCTGTGTCCTCTGCTGCAATGGGTGGAAGCCAGCAAAGAGAGTCATGGCTGTGGGCAGGGGAGACAGGCGTCATCTGCTGCTCGGGAGCCTTGCTGCCTAACCCCAGGCACCCAAATGGGGTGAGGGAGCTCATGGGGCCCATATAGCTGGGCGATGTGCAAGCGGAGCGTCTGGTCAGCAGTTGTCCAGGAGGTTTCAAAGTCCTCATGGACGTTCCAGATTGCTGCTGTGCTCTTAGGTAGAGTCTAAGTGTACCTTGGCTGCACTGGGCTAGGTAAAGCTTTCCATGCTTTATTTTTGGTGGTGTTTTTATGGAAAGCTTTGGCCCAAAGTGGCTGAGCAGCATCCAAAAAAGGGTGCCCACAAAGGGATCTAGAGAGGCAGAGAAAGAGGGAATGGGTATGGAGGCATGCAATTAAAGATGGTCATCACCTGCATGAAAGCTGAAGCCAGTGCTGTGGGCAACCAGACCTCTGGCCTTGTGCTCTGAAGCAAGAGATAGTGGTACCCTGCCAGGCTGTGCTGAGGGCTGGGGGACAGTAGGGCTTAATCCCCACTGCCCTGGTGCAGCCCTTCAGCTCACCAGGTGAGGTGCACAGGCACACGCACTACCTAGCTTGGAGGAGACAAGTCCTCTGCTCCTTGTGGGTATGGGCAGGGATCCTCTGTGCTATCCAAGAGGTGTATTTCCCCGTTGCTTCCTGTCCTGTGTCTTCCCCAGGAAAATGGAGCAAGGGAATCTCTCTCCCCATGGATCCGGCTTCCCTGATGTGGTTTCTAACAGCAATGCTCTTTGTAAAGGATTCTACTTTACCCTGCCTTGCGTGGTTAATAGCCCCGCCATATGTCTGGTTGCCTTCCCAGGGAGGAAGAGAGTAAGTTTTAGACTGTGCAGTCCCAGGAAGAAGGAGCTGCTGTTGTTGTCCACAGAGGAGCATCACTGCCAGTGATAGGCCTGGGCCAGGCAATCCTATTCTCCCTGGCTTCTCTATTGCAAATGGAAACAGTGACTCATGCATCATTAGAGTTGCAAGCTTGGAGCTAAACTGTCCCTGTGTGTGTATTTATCTGTATACTGACTGTAGGAAGCTCACTGAGGTTGAACTCCATGTTTCTTTTCCATTTACTCTGTTGCTGTAGCAGAGATGCTTTTCCCTCCTCTGCAGTGGTAAGCGGGTTGGCTTACCGTCAGCAGGATCATCTTCGGGGTACTGCTGGCAGTGAGTTGCTCTTGGAAAGCAAACCCTTCCATCCCTTGCCTCCAAGATGGGAGGGTTTCATCCTGCAGCAGGGAACAGAAGCCTACTACACAGTTATGGCTATGTGCATGGCTGTGTCCTACTGCCATGGGACATGGGCCCTCCTCACCAACAGGTGTGCTGGGGCACTCCACAGCTTGCCAGCCTCTGCCCTATCTGCTCACCTCCTCTGTGGAAGCAGCACATGGGTTTCAGCCCTGCATTACACCATCTTTCCTCAAAACAGGTGCTGCTCCTCTGCTCCATTTCATTGCAACGAGGGTGGGTAGCAGGGAACAGGTGAGATTCTTCGAGGGACCTCTCTGCCTGCTGCCACAGCCTGTCCCCCTGGCCTGGATTTGGCTTTCTGGAGAGCTGTGTGGTGCTATGGGAGCTGTGCACGCAGGCTGATGAGCAGCCGGCTAATGGAGGCGTGAGCCTTGTAGCGAGGATTCTCAGCCTCCTGGCCCCGAAGGCTGTTATATGAATGAGTTTATTAAATGGGGAAAGGAAGGACCTCGTGTTTGTTTCGGTTCGTTACATGAATTTTGTTCCCTCTAGGAGTCCCATGGGATCAAGCAAAAGGACTTGTTTTACAGTTGGTTTTTGCTTGTGAATCCCTGAGCTAATTTAGTCATCCGGTCAATGCCCTGGCAGTATGGTTAGAGCAGCATGGCTCAGGGGTAAATGCCTTGTGCTGCCATCTCTTCTGCAAAAAAACCCACCCAAACCAAAATACCCCCACCCCCACCCCCCCAAAAAAAAAAACAAACACCCAAACCCAAACCCTAAACAAATCCTTTCAGAGAGTGTCTTTGAGCCCCTTGCTAGTGTTCAGCTACACACCCCAGAGGCTGGGTTTCCCTTGCACAGGGTGCGTGCCTGTCAGCCTCCCACCATGTCTGTGGCACTTGCCGGCAGGAGCAGCAGCGTGCCCTGGGCCATGCAGAGCCGACGGTGCGATGCCATGTGGCAGCCCATGGCCTCAGCCCTCCCAAGTGCAGCTCCCCGTGGTCTCACTGCCCTGTGAGCGGTGCTGGTCCAGGATCTCCTGCATCCAGGTGCCTGCCCATGGGCTGTGCTTACAGGAGAGCATTCCTGGATGATGTCTGGCTGTGTGGTGATCCTTTGAGAGCCGACAAGCTGGCTGGGCTGGGCAGGGCTAGGC